TAATCTTCGTCTTCTTATAACACCATTCAAATTTATCAAGGAGACTAAGTGACTCAAATGCAGTGTACTTGAAGTGAGCATTTTTGCATTTTGCTGTCCAGTTTCAAATATAAGCAGCAAAGCTGTTTGCTATTATATTACCTTCACTCAGTGGAAAATAATAATAAAAAAACTATTTATAATAATAACAAAAATCATGTTTAATATTTAAAGATCTATATCTTCTCGCTGTTGATGTTAGGGACTACTACTTCTATTAGCATAGGTGAATTTGTCTCACTACACCTACCTAGTAATGAGCTTTAGTAAAGTTGGATAGTAGCTAGCAGTAGAATTCAGGATGTGCATTTTATACCATTTAGTATTCATCATCTGAATGTACCTGAATCCTAGTAAACATCTAAATGAGGCTCCAGATGCTTCAGGCAAGACTTACCATTCATCTTGTATTCCATAAGTAGTCACTAACCAACATTTTTTTCTGGTTAGCGTTTTTATAGCGAGTTGATTTTCTACGGGATGGGGTCGCTAACCCCATCCCCAACTCTCCTCCTTTACTCGGGCTTGGGACCGGCAGCAACCCCCAGAGGAGCTACAGGCGGAGTTACTAACCAACTTTACTAAACACCATATTTACTCTTCTTTTTTTATTCAATTAATAATATTCATCATGGACTATTAACGTTTGTTTATATTTTATTATTTTGTAAAGTCAAATGGAACTTAACTAAGGTAATAGATAAGATTACCTATAGACTATAAATTATAATTGCAAAATCATTGAAAAAGAATAATTTTATTTTAGATAAAATTAGACAATATTGAATTTTTTTTATTGCAACTTTTTATCAGGTATTGAGAAAAATAATAATCTAAATAAGTGAAACAATTTATTACCTTAGAGATAAGTATCTTCCTGTTACCAAACAAATAAAATAATACACTGAATGCTTAATAATGTCTGCCGGAATCCATACACATAAACGATAACATTAACTGGTAGTTGAATCACGCTCTCTCTCCCTCCCTCCCTCCTCTCTCCCTGAATCCCTGCCTCTCTCTCTCTCTCTTTATATATATATATATATATATATATATATATATATATATATATATATATATATTTATATATATATGTACAGTAATGAAATAGTATACACAATCCTTAATGAGTATTTGATGTTATACTAAATGATACTGGCTATGACAAAATATATATTAGCACTTTAAATAAAATAATCAGTTACTATAATTTAGGGAAGTTTTACGTTTACGCTTATCATCAACCACTCCATGTGGCTGTTTATTTTTTGTTTATCTAAAAGATAAAAAAGATAAAAATGAAGAATACTATTTTTCTCTCCATTGATAACACTTATAGAATTATGTAATTTACAATAAGTACTAGTCCACAATAAAATAGGAGGATTGTTTTAACTAGGTTCTATCATATGGTGGGAAGTAGACTGCTATTTTTCAATTTCTATATTCTCAGAAACAAGCACATTCGACTCAAAATATAACCGGATATTCATGTTTCATGTAAGAGACACCCTTATTTAGAGTTGCCTGTAAATAATCATATTTTCATCAAGAAAATAGGTTTATTGCGACTTATTGAATTTGCTCACTGTTTACTGGTTCTCGGACGAATATATTAAGTTTTGATGAGACGTTGTAATTGATTAACCTCAGCCAAATCAGATGTGATGCACTCAGTCGCTGATAATATAGGATAGTTTCTATACTAAGTCACAAATTGACTGAAGTTATGAATGTTAATCAGTGTATTACTTTTCAAAGGTTTGAAGACAATGCCAGATGAATGGATTACTTTTGATTCACGAATAGAGAAAATAACTGTATTGCAGAATATCTTGTTCTGTATTTATCAATGAAATTTAAATCTGATCTGTAGACGCAATGATTTTGAAAATTGGAAGAAATGAAATGAGAAATTTCACCTTGTCACGAATACTAGGCAACCAGTTCAAGTTGACTTACAAATAATTCCAGTATACCAATGGTCGAGTTTTACAAGTCAAACTAACGTTATTAATGTGTTTGTCATATATCATGTTATATGAAGCAATAATTACTAAATTTAAGTATACTATCAGAAGCCTAATATAGAAAGCATGATGACTGAGTGAAAATTAACTTAGAATAAAAGCATATAACAGATTGCTTTAGACAAAATGGTAAAAACTTTCAAATCTGTTAACTTTCATTATGATCGGTTGATAGACACTTATTATGTTTACCGTATATTAGAGCTGTCATTAGATATTATTTTTAAACTAAATGCTGTCTAATAGAAAGTGATTCAAAACAGACTTTTTGTTGAGATTTTAGGTGTTTGAAGGTAATTGACTGGAAACTCTCAAGACAACTGGTGCGACTTGTTGATAATAGGGTTCTTTGTACATTAGCTTCAATCATCTAACATTTCAACGAACTATATGTGATGCCAATTCATTTAAGCTAGTGGTCATATTACAATACGATCGATGGAAATCAAGCAGTACTAAAAGAAGTGGATAAATATGATATATATGTCACTACTCAGTGGTCAATCGATTATATGTTTATTGTTTTAATATTAATATTGACTAATTGTCTATTCAAAAGTGTGGGATATTATGGTGAGTGTGAACAGCTGAAGGGTATAATCGTGATTCTTAATAACGTATTCTGGAATTGTTTACAATTATAAGAGCCTATATATATATATATATATATATATATATATATATATATATATATATATATATATATATATTCTTGGTTCGGTGACTATGTGAATATGTAAGAAATATGGTTTTTTCTGGAAAATCGAATATGTAACTAGAGGCAACTTCTACAGAGTGCTGATCAACAAAGAACATCTAAATAACCAGTAATGAATTCATTTTCTTTCTGAAGATTCACCCCAAATTATTCAACGTTTCCTTCAAATGCTGTGTAAAACAAGTTGTAGCTAAGTATTTCAATATTCATGCACAAATTATAGATCCTTGAATAAATGTAAACTAAGGTTCGAACTATCAGCAATGTAGGGAAAATATATCAAAAAATCTATTAGCGAACTCGTATTAATTAAATTCAACATATGGAATATGTAGTATTGAAACATCCTCTTCTTAGTATAACGGTAAACTATGGAAATCTCTGCTTCTTACAAAATCTGCTAAAACTAATAAACTGAGATCAAGAATCTGATTTTTTTTTCTTAAACAAATGTTACATCTAACAGATGTAGTTAATGAGCATATAGAATGATTCAACTAATAAATTATTCCCAAGAGTTTTAATGAATATTTTTGAAAAAGAAAAGGGAGAACAACAAGAAAAATCTTACTAATTAAGGTTAAACAAAAAAGAGTAACTGAGGGTAAGGAAAATAATAATCATTTATAATAGCCCAAAACGTACCTTTATCTTAGATGAATGTTTTGATAATACAAAGAAGAGATTTATTCCTTGCCATTGACAGATAACTCAATAAAATATATGAATATGTTCATCAATCAAAATAGAGCTAATATCATGAAACCAGTAAAATGACTGACTAATCAGTTATCTACTTACTTAATTACTTATGCCTGTTACTCCCAATATATCATAAGCTGACGACCAGCATTTTCCAAACCACTCTGTCCTGGGCCTTTCTTTCTAGTTCTATTCAATTTTTTGTTCATTCTTCTCATGTCTGTCTCCACTCAGCCTGTAGTTCCTCCGGGGGCTACTACCGGACCCAAGCCCGGGTAAAGGAGGAGGGTTGGGCATGGGGTTAGCGACCCCATCCCGTAGAAAACCAAATCGCTAAAAATAACGCTAACCAGAAATCAGTTATTTACTAACAAACCTAATTATGCTGAGCTTAGATATCAATGTATTAAAGATGTAACATGGATAAATTAAACTAAGACTGAGTAAGAAAATGAGCTGTTGATTCCTTGTGTTATATATATCCCGAGGAGAATTATGATTGGTAACTTTTGAGGACTATTTATGGACCAATATGATACGCATATTTTCAATTGTATAATTGTTAAGTAACTTAATTATTCATATTCATGTCCCCCTTATTATGAGCTTTATTTTGACCCATGGACTATTACTATACGATTTATCATTCCGGAGTTATATCCAGTCTATTCATTACTGTTCCCCCATATTCACAGCAACATTAAGTTGAATCTTGAACAAACGTTATTTTCTATTTTATGGTACGATATGGACTGTTTGTTTGGCATATAAACCCAGCATGTTTGTGAATAATGATTCACATTGCAGAGCTGTTATTGATGTTCTGCACTTAACTGGCTGGGCTAGGCAAACAGCAGGAATGATAAGTACTCAGAACTGCTCATACGACTTTTGTGTATCATTGCTTTGATCAATAATTCACTGCTCTCTCATTGGCGGGGATCACATCGTCATATATTAAACAGAGCACGTACTCACTCAATCGATATAACACCTTGGTTTTTAATGTTAGTGAAACTAAACACTAACAAATAAACGTATTTTTATTCCTATACATTTTGTTAATTTACTCCAAGTTTATGATTTAAATGAAATTCCAAAATTTTTATTGTATTATAAGAAAGAAGTGAAATTACTTAAAATATTTTGGCCGGACTATAATTTATGAACGAATCAATCAGATGTAAAATAGTGAGTCATGGATTTTGGTGCGAAATTTGGCTAAATAACATTTTGGTATGATAGTTGATGTCAGTTGGTGATGAAAACCCTAAATATAATTTCTAGCGCTAACCATCAGTTATATATCACAATTCTAATTCTTCACACTGATTTATAACCCTCACTTAGTTAATAAGTGGAAACTCTAAAAATAACTTTGGAGTTGTTCAAATTTCGTCCATAAATTATAGTCTCATCAACATTTCTTTTGATAAAAGCTTTTTTACCTTTTTTTAAGTATTATCAGTTGATTAATAATTTTAGTAAATATTTATTCAATCTTATAGAACTGGTGTATTTGCTCGATCTCGTGCACTTGAAGACTGTAGACAAAGAACAAATGCTATACTGAAAACTGTTCAACCAAATTATATAAATATGGATTTGATAAGATCCGCTAAATTGAATGCAGCTAAAGAAGCTTATTGGATTAATCAGTTGACCAATAGACTGGAGCATGTACAAGTAAGTTAATTCATTTTTCAAACAGATTAGATCTATTCACTATACTTTTAAAAATTTGTAGAAAGAAGTTGTTTTAGAAAGAGATAGTTAAATGAGTTTATTGATAACGCTATCTATAAAGGTTATTTAAGTAAACTGCACGGTCACAGAATCAAGATCGAGGTTGACTGATTTACAGACGATTATAGTTTTTTGTGAAATTTAAGATAAAATACTGGTGTTCTTCCCACTATGGTAAAGTGTTTTAGCAGGAAAGTTATTTTAGTAGCTGAATAAAAGACATCCGAAATAAAGGTTAAAAGTCTGTATCGCTTTATTGTGAAAACCAAATGTTCTATAAAAATTAGGGTCCACTACTGTGGTAATAGACGTAAGAAAAATAATTCCAAAGACAAAACAATCCTAATTTTTTTATCAATCAGTATTTACTTTGATTCATTTTTCTTGCGATTCCCCGGAAACTTTTTAATATTCCTAAAATTGTTCAATAAAGGGTCAAATAGGAAATCGAATGAGTCATTACGCTTATGTTTTATAGATTATTTTTCTACAGACAATGTAAATATTGTGATAATAGCTGAGTAAGATATTTTTTGAAAACGTGTGTACCCATTTCAACGGCTAATAAGTTTTTTTGTCTAGAAATGTGACGATTCATTAGTGTTGTTAACATTTCTAACCTATTTAATGAATAAATTCACTTGGTATTGTTTGTTTGAATCTTCCCATTGGTGTTTTGAACCGCAATTGATCAGTCCCTTTGTAGTGCCGCGTTTCGTTATTTGTTCACTTCGATAACCGTTATAGTTCTAATCTTAACGGTGCGTAAAACCAGAAGACAATGGATAGGATGAGTTCCTCTACGTTATGCATTACGATTTTCGAACCTTTGAACCTTTTTCTAACCTTGACAAGTTTTTGGACTATATGAAAGAAGTGTATCCACTTCAGTTGTTTGGTTTTGCATAGTATATTTTTACTCTATCCTTACTGTTTACTGATTGACTAACATTTCTCAAGGTCACTTAAGACTCGTTCAAAGGACGACCATAAATTATAGTCTCGACAACAAGTCATATACACGTTTCATCGTCCATAAAGAATCTACTATCAACTATTATGAGGAATTATAGCTTGAGATTGGAAAACTTCATTCTTAATGCGTTATAAAAATAAGTGAAAAAGCCATGAAATATATTTCCCAGTAATAAAGTCTGCCTATGATCCAAATTAAATAAGATGTCATAAGAATATTTTCAGTCATAAGTATAGAGGTAATGTTCTTCAGTATTAATTTTTTTGTACTAAAAAACGGAGGGTACCAAAATTTGTAGGTTCTGAACTATCATATTACCGATTCTTTAAAAGAAACAACAGTACCATAAGTTCTTTACGCATTCGCAGATAAGAGACAATATCTACCCTGAACGATCATCATTGCATATTAACCTGATCGATCTGAGAGTTGATATTCCATGGCCATGCTGATACGTCCTGTAGATTGAACGCTATATTCGGATCCTAAGCTAATTTCGTAACCCCCAAGCTAACTGATATCCTCCCATGATTTAGCTTCATTTAAAATATATAGTAAAGGATAAAAATTATAAACAGAGATGTATGGTGGTTAGTAGTGAAAACTATGACGCGTTTCTTTCTATTGGGGTTAAATCACGTGGATTTAACTGCACCCCAGAGTTGATGTCAACCCGAGGACTCGAACCCAGTACCAATAGCTACAGGCGCTAATCCGTTATCTACTTGTCTACTGAGTCCAGATACTTACTGGTTTGTTCGAGTAACTAATACGAATGAATAAAAGAAAGGTAAAATATTCTTATTTTTACCCCTAATTGTTGAATACAACATAACAAGAATAGCAATCTTCCGAGAATAATAAGAAATAATTTATTTTGCCAAACCATACCAGCTGAAAACAAACTGAATTATAAAGAATCATCAGATTTCCATAAAAAAAGTACACATCGAAGGTTATCAAAGAGGGGTTTAATGGATATTAAAACAATTTAATAGTTTAATCCATGAGTTGCTTAAAGTTAGACTACCATAGAAGACCAGGAAGCACTGGTGGACGGTGGCTTGATTACGTAAATTGGTTAAAGTCAGACATTACCACCGTTAGATGCCGTCCCAGAGGTCTAAAGATTAAGCGTACGCGCGCGAAACTGTTAGGTCCTGGGTTTGAATCCCATTAGCAGGATCGTGGATACACACTGCTGAAGAGTACCACACCAGGATGAAACGGCCTTACAGTGCAGTATTTCGAACAAAATAATATAAATTTATTTTATATCATTAGATTCTTACTTCATTGATTAAAACCATTGATCCATTGGAATGAAATACAAAATAATTAAAGAAATACATATGATTGAAAATTAACGTGAACACTTATTAATGTGACATATGAAAGATTTAATTAAAATATAATAAATACATTGTAACCAAGTTTTTAATGAATGTATCTTCAAAATTAAAAATATTTGTTTATACGATCGCAAATAAGCTCATTTAAATGCTTTAATTCGCTGAACTACTGAACCTCCCACGTGCGTTTAAACTAATAACATGCGAAAAATAATTTTTTTATGAAAGCAGATCGCGTTTTTAAAGGTGTGAGTTATTTAAAATAGTTCTCAAAACGATTTCAATCAAAAAGATAATGAATTCAATGAAGTCAGAAGTCAGAAGATAGGCGCATTAAAGTTTCATCCTTGAGAATTTCTCACTCATAAGACTTTTCATCCTGGGTTGAAAGTTGTTTACTGACCTCTAAGGATTAATCACCTTCGAGTTTAAAAAAAAATTGTGATGCAAACTATTTTCATGGTACCTATGACAAAATTGTCAATTTAGTTTTGTTTTTTTCAGCTAATTATTGCATGTATAATCTGTTCTCAATTTCATTTCAGACTCAGATACAACTACAATTTATCACAGAATTATGTTTAATGCAAAAAGGATTGGTAAATCACTATTATGTCTTAGATCAAAATGCTGTGAAAATCCATGTACCAGAGATAACGAATACTAATTCAACATTTTCAGCTTGTGAACTAATTGGTCCTAATTTTCAGTTTACTGAACAAGCATTATTAATTTTGTCCAATTGGAAGTTAGATCCTCTAACAAATAAACAAATTAAACACACATTAAAAACTCCAGTATGTCATTTCTCCCCAGTTGTTCCTGCTACTTATGCTGAAAGTGAGTAATATTGCTAGACAGTGCATGAATAAATGAGTAGCTGTCATGTAGGATTACTTAATTTTGGAAAGCCAATAACTTTTTTAAGAGTTTACATTATAAGCTGATATCAGATCACTAATGAACATCAAAAAGTAGGAAAGGTTTGCTAATTATTAACCCCTAAATCCTATACATATGAAATTTCCGTTTGGAATCTTCTTTATTCAAGTAATTTCAGAAGGCCTTAACTGAATTACGTACACTTAGCTCATGTTTATCAAAATTGATCCGTTAACACCCTTTGAATAGTGTAAAAAAGATTTATATCATTTGACTGTTAATAGCTGCTAAAAATTGAGATAGATATTCAGTCAGAATCAGAACTTAACTTGATGCAGACATACGAGAGCATAGTTTTCTGATATAACTAATGAACCACAGAAAATCACTGACAGACTAGCGAACTTTGCTCATTTGTGGTAGAGTCAGTTTCTTCTCAAACATATTAACAGTAACATCTTTATCAAAGCTTGAAGTAGTTTTGAATCAAAAAGCAGAACAAGCGTTACATATGTGGATTATCTGAAGTTCAGTGCATAACTCTGTATACATCTTCCTTTTAAATTCTCTAAGCACGTTTTATCTATTATTGTATCCAACTATAAATATTATGTTGCATAATATCATGGATTGATTGAAATTAGACGATAACTATATAGTCACGGTCTCAATTTTCTGTAGTGTGACCGTGAATATGAACTGTTGAGTTCTGTTCTAGGATGAAACAGATATTAGGTAATCCTTTGTTTCTAATAACATTCTAGCTGACATGATTTAAATTACGTAAAAATACACCAAAAGTGACTTGTATTAAGGGAAGACTGTTAGAAATATAGGTTAAAGAACATGATACAGGTCTGTCCTCACATACAACAAAATCTACGTCTACTTTCTCAGATAAGACAGCCTTACAGTTCACTTTCTATCTTATATTTGCAGTAGTAAAACAGAAAACATTATTTTATTAAAATGCATTCAGCTTTATTTACCTCATCTAAGGGATTGATCCTTTGAATTCAATTCTTATATTAAAATAGCCGAAATTCTTAATTTTATCTTTTTTTTGTTAAAGGTCATCTATCACGTTTATTAAGAATGACTGGTTTAAACGATCAACCACTTCAAATGAATAATAAAAAAACCAATGAACAAATTACCTTAAATAATAATAATCAAACCGAATTCATTCAGTTTGATGGAAATCAATTAGATTTCGACTATGAACAATTTACTACATCAATTGAAAGTCTGTCAACTTTGATTAATGCTGTTTATCGTTTATTATTAACTAGTTTGACAGTAATGATGGCTATGGGTGGATTATTAGTCTGTTTACATATGATTTCAATTTTAGGACGTATAATAATAAGAATTCCAGTACGTAAGGTGAGATGAAAAAAAAAGGAAAATTATGTTTTACATTCTTTTTTATTGAGTTTGAATTGATTCTTTTTCTATTGTAATTTGACACAAAATAAGTATTTTTCTTTTGGAATGAATATTAAAAGTTAATTTGAAAAACGAGAGTTCTTATTGAAAGGTAGTTTAAAATGATTTTGAACAAAGATGTATAAATATTAGCAGTGGAATTCATGACGAGCGTTTCGTCCAATTTGGGGCTCATCAGCTACATGTACCTGTATCTTAGAATTGTTGTTCACTTTGGGACTTGAACCCAATACCTTTCGCTTCAAACGCCATCACGTTATTCACTAAGCTACTGAGTCAAACAAGTAATACTAAGTGAATTTGTAGTTTATAAGGATTTGAAACTGCTTATGAAAGAATTACAGATTCCGTTTTAATTCATATATGATTTGTCTTACTAACGAAATTTAAACGTTGCATGTGGTCACTCTGTGAACATTTTAATGTTCGGTGAAGTGTAACTATATTTAAATAGCGGCAGGATAAACAAAATTGTTACATTTGAAGATCTGTAACCAGTAACAAGATATTGATCAACATGTGTTCAGTGTACACTGATTACAATCAAACTGAATTCAGACTTCCTATAGATTATTATTATTATGTCTCATATATGGTACTAACAAACTGTTGTTTACCTAAGGAGTTTAAATATACTGTATAGTTGCTTTCTACCAGTGAAGACGTTCGAAATATTTTAGAAGGTATGTAGGTGAATCGCATGTCATTTGTGCACACGTTTTTATTTAATTTTCTTATAACAACACCATAATAAAACAACTCACCGCTAAATGAAATGGCTAGCGCTTCAAATATAAAGGCTGTAGAAGGCAGCTATACTGTACATCATTTACACATCAAATATAAGCGAATGTATAAGCTAATAACTATGAGATTCTAGCAATTTTATTGTTGTTATCAACATAATTTGTTAGGGATTAAAAAATTCAATAGCCTTCCAGGAAACATTAATTGTGTTGTTATAATTTTTCTTACTAGAACCAAGCTACTCCTAGTGATTACTATTCATGGACACCAATTCACTAAACATGTCCCCAAATCAGAACACGGTAGAACAGGAACGAAACTATACTCCAGATAACAAAGGTAGATGGAAGTAGAAATTCCAATAAGACAAACGTTATTACACATATGGTTTTTGCATGAGAATATTCATCATAGAACGATATTGAATACCAGATTGTTACATTTATCTTCTTGAGACATTGGATAATTGTCTCATTGTGCTTAAAATTAACTGAATTAGTAAGTGCTGATTATTAGATTTTAACCCAGTGCTCTGGAAACTTACAGTATGATTTTGTATATGATCCGTAAATACGTAGCTATTGCTTTGGACTTTCAAAGTGAGAAGAAGAAGCTCCAAATACTCCATCGTATTTAATGATTCTTCGGAAATTATCACTCTGAAACACAAATTATTCGCTAGAATTCTGTCGAGTAAGAAATTCAAGTGGTTTCTTCAAACTGATTATAGTCTATTCAGTGGTAAGGAATTCGTGGTTATAGTCGTATCACTTAATTTACCTCAATTTAATGTACATTCATTAAAAAACAAAATGACTTTATCTCTTTACTTTTAATTATCAGACATTGTTTCATCCTTTTATTCAGGTTTATTACACCACCGTCTACCCTCCGTCTACATCTATCCACAACCCATCTTGTTCATCTACTGTCTACCAGGCAAGCAGTCAACATTCATGATGAATAAAACTATGTATTATGGTATACAAAACTTCATTATCCGTACATAAACAAATTCTCAAAGTGTTAAGCAGAACACGAAAACAACTCCATTTCGAAAAAAAAACTATCAATACACAGCTATTGATATGAGTGAAACTACAATCCACAAAATTACACCATTCCCACAACAGAGTTGAACTAGAACACAAAAAAAGTCGTTTGTTTTGCTCAATTATATATTTATCCTTGAACAATAATGAAACTAAGTAAATAAAAAAACTGGAACCAAATGTGAAAAACTGGAAGCAAATACCGTGGACTACGTATATATATATGCATAGTTGAATTCTTCTAACAAATTTATTTCACTCTTCGATGAACGTATTTTTTTTCTTATTTTTTATTCGAATTCTTATGTCATTTGGGATTTTTCTTATATGGGAAAACTATACCCTTACACATGGGAGAAAGAAAAAAAACTCGAATGCGTTGGTGATTAAATGAATGTGTTTAGGGTAGAATTAAGATAAAGAGATTAGTTAAAAAAAAGAAAAAGAAACTTTGCTCATAGAAAGAATGAGAGGAAAAAGACCATCTTTGTTTAATACTGTTATGGTGGAGAAATTGTGAATAGAACTTTCATGACAGCATACATCTCTTTCATTAGGATATATATATATATATATATTTCTTGTAAATGTTACTTAGTACTGTTGTCGTTTAACGGTAAGAAAATCGATTGGAACTGTACGTCCCTTTTTTTTAAGAATGATTCAATTCATTCGGTAAGTTGACTAATGGTATAAAACAACAAAGAAAAAGGGAATGACATTTAAGATGTTTGTTGCTGTGTAATTTACTAATTGATATCTTATTCAAATATTATTTTTATTCAATATGATAATCATAATGATTAATTTTTATGATCATAATGATCATTTCTTATCCAAAAAAAATTGAATGTAACGATTGAATTGACTTGCATTCCGTTAATGTAACATTGAATAACCTTTTCCTGAAAGTCGAATATTTGTAAATAAGAACTTTGTCCCTAGTTTCTCCTTACAATTTAAGGTAAAAAGAAACTAATGTATATAATTTCTTACTTTCCATGTTGTGTATAATATGTGGTTTATTATGTTCCATAGTAACTATTCAATCGATAATAGTTATAAATGTAATCTTATAAATTTGATGAAAGTCTATTCTATAATTGTTATGTTTATTTGTATCTTTGAAACTTTTTCATTCAAATTATCATAAGTTTAAATTTAGTAATGACAGGATAAATTATTGGGGGGAGGGGGAGGATTTTGTGAATTATAAACCTTTCAGTTTAGATTTATGCAAACAGAGATACATTTGGAAATATTCTTACAATCCACTTATCAGTATATTTTAATAGTATGGTTAGTAAAGTTGATTCATCTGGTCTATTCTTATGAATTAAAAACTATTGTCTCTAGTTTAATAATACCTCATTTATTGCGTAGTAGTAAAGTATCTCTAGCATAGATGAACCACAAATATTTCAACAACAGAAAAGTCTCATTCATAGGGTTCAACTACGTCAGGTGTTAGGAAAGAAGTTACTGAAGATATTGGATCATGATCGCCCGATGTCACATAATGATTAAATTTAGACAAACACACCACTGAACGTCATCTCAACGAACCAGAGTTTAAGCGCTTGCGTGCGAGACTGAAAGTCTTGAATTCGAGATCGTGGATATGCAGTTCTGGGGAGTCCGATGCGAGGACGAAATGCTCATTTACTGCTTCTAGATTTTTAATAGTCATTCAAATTAGATCGGTCTATAATCTCAATAAAGTTCTGTATTTTTCACAGTCATATATTGATGTTTCAACAAGAACTGGTCGATAATCGAACACGGAAAGCAACCGCTGTCCTACTGTGTCCTGAAGAACACTGTGCAGTCACGTAGTTCACGATTATAGCCCATACTACTGACTTAAGTATCACTAGTAGCATCAGGTTATTTTCGCACTTCAGTTTTAAAATATGGACCACTCGATTCCAATTACGTGGTCTAGAAGAATAATACGTTTGGTAATCACTTGAAGTGTTTTATCTGCATTACGTTTGTGGTCGTGGGTACTGAATACTGAGGAGTCACAAACTAAAGTACAAATTTTCACCGCTAATTGATTCCAATTTATATTCTATTGATAACCGTCCATGACAAAAGAACATCGACCTTAAATTGAATAATCTCTAAGATCAATGAATGACTGGATTCATTATTATCATTGCTTTATTGGTAACGCGATTTCCTTAGATTCTTATAGGTTGTAGATTCAAGAATTTATAAAGTTCAGTATAATCATTTTATAGTATGTGTTAATTCTTGACAAAGTAATCATTGTCAAGAATCTTATTTTCAATAAGTTTTCAACGAATGTTTAGTTCAAATAAAAATGAAAATTAATTCTTACTAACAAATTACTATATGAAAACTGATTTCAGAATTTACATTAAGGTGGTACAAAGTATAAAGTTATCATGTTGGAACATTCGAAGATATTTTACCAGTTAAAGTACAAATTGATAAAAGATTTCCGGTTTATCAATAATAAGGTAATGAACATTTACGATGTCTCATTCAGTTCAAAGTGTTAAAACTGAATGTTCCTTGTTTAATTGTTAAGGTATTGAAATAATCCAAAATATAACTGCTAATTATTAAACTCTATTAAAACATTATGGCTTAAAACAAGTTTATTTATTTATAAACTAATCAATGTGATTTTTTTAAAAAAAAACGATACATCAATATAAACCATTACAAATTATAAAAAAACAAAAGGGATTTGGAAACTATTGCATAATTGCAAAATATTGATTATTAAAACTTAATTGTTTTTGGTTTTGATTAGAAGTGAGGCGAATCATTTTGTCAAGTTCAGCTGTTAGTCCGTTATATTAAATATCCATCCAAATGAATAGATTTGAATTACTGAAAAAAAAAATAAATTATTTACGCGTCACAAACACTTGAAGTTCGTCTATAAATTTTTGGTCGATTCTCAAAAGTAGGTGAATTAATTATTGAAACATTTGTTATATTGTCACGATTCATAATAGATCGATATGTAGTTGAATCATTGAAATTATTTGTAAATGTACTTACGTTTGACGGTGATTGTGGTCTTTGCTTATTTATTGTTTGATTGAAGTCATAGACCATTTGAATCGATGGAGAACCATATGTTTCCGATCGATCAGGTAAAGGAGGTGCACTTTCATTAAAAGGATCTGATATTCTTCCTATTGTTGTTAATGGATTATCTTTATTATCAACACCTTCTATATTTTCATCTGGTGGAAATCCAGTTTCATATATTCCTGTACCAGCATATATACCTAGTGGATCACACTCATCATATTCGTCAGGTATTGTACTTGGTTCTAATTGTCTACTGTAAGCAGCATTTGGTGATTTTGTAATTAATGGGGGAATATTAGATGTATCTTCGTATGTGATATTCATGAAATGTTGGTTGAGCGGACATGAGCTACCATAATTGGACTGTGCTGAATTTCGAGGATTGTGATATAATACAATAGGTCCATGTTTATTTAAATATTGTACCTTACGTCTATAGTATCATGATCAATGGAAAAATAATATTTCAAGGCATAGTTAAAAGCAAAAACATAAATATTTCAGTAAGTTATGGAGTCTCTATATTCAAACAACAATCAAAATTAAAACAAAGCAAGTAACGTACTAGTTCATACTATGGTAGTGTCTTACATATGTTATTTAATAATAGAAAATGAATTTAGAATGAAAAAGACTTATTTAAATCTAATAGCCAACTAGTTTCATTTAATTCAAGTTTGTATCAACTACTTTTGACAGAAGAACAATTCAAATGGTTGAATCGCAAACAGAATAGTTAATGTACCAGCGATCAATGCAAATAATTCGTTATTATGGCTCTAAGTGAATAGTTTTCAGTGCCTTATTCTATGGAAAGAAAAGTCGCATAAACCAAAATGTTTGCTATGTAAAACAGTTTATCTATATAACGATGGTCAATTTCTACAGTTTAGTCTTGGACATTTCGATCACTAAAATTTGATGAAAAATCTCGTTTGCGTTGTATACTGATATCCGTCAGTTAAGCATCTATTTGCTTTGTTTAACAATATATATTCTATGAATATATTTACTACTAATGTAAAATAAACCAAGTCATTTAATGACAAAATTTTATACTGATACTCAGTTACTATCAAGCGATCAAATGGATTACTATCACAGAAATTGATATTCATGTTACGATTGTACTAAAAAACAATCGTTATGCATTCATTTTAGACCAAACAATTTTTCCGATCTAGTTATTTATATACATATGAATTTGACATAGGTAAAGTTTGCCGAAAGGTGTCTGATGAAATTAATAAAACTATAGTATAAGTATGAGTAAGTCAAGGTAGAGAAATAGACTTTTAGGTTTCTAATCAAAATTCAAAAATTATGTAAAATGAGCTGTAGACATACATTTGTATAGTGCTCAGAACGCTTACAAGGGAAACTTTTAGCTATAGCAAAGTAAAACTAATGATATCAAACATATTAAACTCAATTCTTTTTATTTAGATTGTATATAACTAGCAAACCAACGTAATCTCTACACTCCAACACTCAATCCACGAGAAAGACTTAAACTAGTGACATTGTATTTTGTTGACGAATTAAAAACAGTTAAGCTAACTCTTCTAGGAGTTTTTCAGGAAGTTAGTTCATTATGATGGCTACAAAGCATTTTTTGTTAACACCGATGTCATTTTGTAATGAAGACTTCAATAGCAACTTCCCAGTATGAATTCTAGATACTTAACCGAGATCGATGTGTTAACTTTAAAATCCCGTTTACATCACTTAAAAGCTTCAGAGAAGACAGATGATCTCTATCTATTTAGACGAATTAGCGTATGTCATTGCTTATTCAATTGATAGGTAGAGTATCCTACAAAATGCTTTAATAGATTCACTAAATATGTAAAACTTGTTTGTACTTAGTAATAGTATTGTTTTCTTTTTTATAGACTATCCATTCACAAAATCTGTTTTTTGACGGATTAAGAACTGGCTAAAAATTCTTAGCGTTTATTTAATGCCAGTTTTTTTATTGTATCATCAGTTGTAAGTATAGACATTGAGTTCCCATGACCAAACATTAAACTATCTTTATCCAACTATGCTTCCAAATGTTAGTTTTAATGTTTTTAGAATAAAGGTTTGTATTATTCGACAATTGATTCACAAACATGTCGTAGAATATTAATGTTAAATAAACAAACAGATCACTAATATCATCTACTTGAAACCAATATGATAACAATCAAGTCTATAATTATCAGTGAAGTTTATTAACACTTTACATAAAGCTCATATTTTTAAAAAAAAGAAGAGAGAAATGATACTTCTTCATCAAAGATTCAAATTCATATAAACATTTGATACTGTTAAAGAGGTATTCAGATTATCAGTTCAGTTTACTTATCTGACAAGAATAGTCAATGATATATAGTTCTATTTAGTTTTCAAGTATTTAAATACACAATAGTGGAGTATTCTTATGATTTACTCTTTTGTAAATTATACAAGATATTTTGAAGATTAGATAAAATGTAAGTAAATTCAAGAATGAAATGCTTTTTCATTGTTTAACTATTTCATTGAAATAATGTTGAATATTATGCGATTTTTTGAAAATCATCAATCAAGTAGGAATCCATTTTGAATATTTTAATGTTTTTTTTCAATATAAACAAAAATTTTCCTAGTATCATTGTAATGTAACTACTTATTTAAGGATTAAATTGTTATATGCCGAGGACAATTATGAATAGTAAATTTTCAGGTTTATTTATGAACAAATATGATGCGTATATTCCCTAATGTGAAATTGTGAAATAACTTAACTATTCATATTCATGCCCCTCTTATTATGAGCTTTATTTTCACCCATAGACTATTACTGTACGATTTATCATTCCGGAGTTATACATAGTCTATTCATTACTGTCTCCCCTATTCATAGACACATTTAGCTGAATCTTGTATAAATATTATTTTCTATTTTATGGCACTGTTATATCGTGTGCGCTCGTAATATATATGAACGTGCAATTAGAGAGGAGTGAATTTTACTGATCGGACGCAAATGATGATGCTTGAAATCGTACGAGCAGTCTTGGGTGCTATTCGATCCTTCCTATCTGCCCAGCCTAGTCCAGCCAGTTGAGTCCAGAACACAAATAACAGCCTCGGCAATATGAATCATTATTTACAAACACACTGGGTTTTTATACAAACCAAAGTAATCAATAAACTGATTACAACTCAAGAATCGTATGATAATAAGTCAAGGTCAAAATAAAACTAATGATAAGAGAAATACGAATATGAATAGTTTAGTTACGTAACAATTGTACAATAGGAAATAGACATAATACATTGGTCCATAAATAGTCCTTAGAGTTACCATTCATAATTCACCAGGGGATATAACAGGCACGATATGGTCTGTTTGTTTAGTATACAAACCCAGTATGTTTGGAAATAATGATTCATATTGTAGAGGCTGTTATTGGTGTTCTGTACTTAATTGGCTAGGCTAGGCAGAAATCAGGATTGACAAGTACTATAGACTCCTCGAACGAGTTTCGTGTATCATTGGTCCGATCGATAATTCGCAGTTCTCCGATTGGAGGCATCGTCACGTCATATATAAGCACGGCACTCAAACACAAGCTATAACATAAATGTTTCTCTTTATATATATATATTCTTTTTTTTCAAAACCGTATAATGAAAAAAAGGCTAATATTGCTTATCCAAATTATAAAACATCCTCAATTTCTAACAGTATATCTTTAACCTAGTAGAATCATTCATAGTCAAGTAATTGTCTGTTATAGATAAATAAGAAAATCATATGATAGAAAATACTAGACAGTCTGATTATACAAGATCGACATCACCTTCCCAACTTATTAATCTACAGTTTGGTAAAGTTTGTGATAAATTTGTAGAGAGAATAAAGGAAATTTTTAAATTGCCTACATATGCATAAAATTCCGAAGGACAATGGAAGATGTGAGAACATAGAGAGGAACTGACATAGATTCAGATCACCACCTGGTTGTGGCCAAGATGAAACTGAAGCTAAAAAGAAGCACTCAAAACTGAACAAACTGCATTACAAAGCTTCAATGCAGCATTTCTTCGAGATACTAACAAATTCAACGAATTCAAGTTAACTCTCAACAACAGGTTCCAAGCTTTACACAATCTACTGAAAGAACAAGAAACTACAATGGATGAAGCACTAACTTCAACATGTCAGGAGGTTCTGGGTCGCAAGAAACACCATTATATGGAATGGATCTCTATGGGACCCTGGACAAAATTCAAGAGGGGAATAACAAGAAAACAGCAATTAGCAACAGTCAAACTCTAGTAGAGACAATCAACGTACAGGCAGACTACTCAGAAGCAAACAGGCAAGTGAAGAAGAGCATTAAAGCCAACAAGCAGAAATACATGGGAGAACTAGCAACGACGGTGGAAAAAGCTGCAAGGGAAGGGATTTTGAAACAGCTATATGATAGTTGAAAAATATCGTTAAGTAGTAATAAAGCTTAGTTGTCATAATGTTATCGGTTATCAAAAAATATTTTTCTCTACTAACAATCGTTGATCTTCCCTGCACGTTATCTTCATACAGCAGTATCCTGTTAAAGTTTTGTTTCTTGAGTATCCTTATAAATGGTTGATTGAGATGAAGATTATCTAATTGCCTTCATAGAAAATTAGTTATGTATTTTATACATCTCATAAGGCTTTTAGGATTATATATATATATATATATCATTAATATAGCATTCAATTTGAATAAGTCAAACACTTTGAATACAACCTACTTACTTCCTGATGAAACATTTCCAGATAATTCCTATTGTAAGTAGAACAACCGTGATAAATAGAATACCTCCGACACTGATGAGTGTTATTAATATCCAATTTGAGTTCTGAAAAACAAAGGAAAACATTTACAGATTTTCTACGCACAAAACTTAGAAAACTTAACCTCAATACATTGGTAAACATAGATTGATGATGAAGTTTACAGTAATCATGGTCAGTGAAGTTTCGAAAAACGCATTAATTACTTCGCTTCTTACATCTGGACACTAATACTGCATTTAGACTTCTGTTAATAATTGGGTGAACAAAATTTGAGTTATTCTCCAATTAATATAAGTCCACTTATGTTGAAATTCTTTACTGATAACACTTTACAACATTGACGAATGAAAGATAATATTTGTATATGTTTTGATATTCATAAAAAGATGTCACCTTAAATCCCAATTACCTCAAAATAACACTAGTGTATATATGCCAGGTGTAATACAAATGCCTCCTGTTCGAATACTTTTGCTCAACCGTGTAACCTATATTTTTATTAGATCAATGGAGAGTGATTTAGGTACTACAATCGGACAATAGAAATAGATAATCGAAATCATTAATTAGGATGTTGGAAGATACTACGTATATCAACATCATCATGGAAACACAACGATCAAAGTAAGTACTTTTGTCCTTATATACTAAAGATAATTTGCTTCAATGGACAAAATGAAATTTCACTTTACCCTGAAGGTTATTAACTCATAACCATTGTCTCCTATTTTCCAAAATCTTTCTAGAAAATGTAAATCATCTCTACACATTCGTCTAACATTTTCTCAGTTTTATCCAAATTTTGGTAACTCGTCCCAATGTTACACTGTACCTGTAATTAGATGTATGTTGTGCTTTGATATCACACCTGCTTGATAAACGGTCTATGTCGTTAAAGCACAATAAAGTTCCCTCTAATTCTTCATCATAAATCAACAGATTTAATACGATAATAAACAAACTTCAAAACGTTTTCTTACTGGTGTTTCTACTTCAACAGGTATTTCACATCTAGCTCCTATCCAACCAGGTAAACATACGCAACGAACTTCAAATCTGATTGGATGATCAAAACACGTACCGCCGTTTAGACAAACGGAAGTTACTTCTGTTGAATTGTTGTAATGATCAGTGGACAAATTATTATGACGTTGAACTTTTGCTGCCTCCTCTAAGCATGCCGAACGTCTTTCATTGCATTTATGACCTGTCCATTGTTCAGTACAATGACATATGAAACTCTCATTATAATGTCCAGCTAACCTACATTGACCACCATTTTGGCAAGGTTTTGAATCACATGGATTGTAATTTGGATAGCATTCGGGTTCTGGTAAATTAAAATAAAAACAAAGTAATGGTCATCATCCTTATAGGTATTTGGAGACAGTTAAATTAAATCGAAGTCACGAACCAATATAAATCAGATAATCATTATTAGCCTAGAAGCACTGGACGACTATTTCATCCTGGCATGAGAATCCACGGAAGCATCTAAGGATATGTAAGCAAGAATAGAACCCAAGACCACTGAGGCCAGCTCCAGTGGTATACAAGTCTAACTTCAGTCAATCCATGACATTGTGCGACCATCATTCAAACTCTTTTCGGAGAGTTTCTATATGTCACAAGTCATGTTTTGGCCTTACTGGTCGTTCATGAGGCTGATGCTTCAATTTCTGCTCACAGTAAGATAGGTGCGCACTTCTGATGAGTTCGATACTAGAACGAAAAAGGTTATCCAATGCTTTCACGTCTTGAATGGTCGTCTGAATTTGATCGGTTTGTGAGATAAATGGAAAATAAATTAATGAGTTGAAACCATTCAGTATGAGAACGCTGAAAAATCGGTCGTTTTAAAAAAAACATTTATTGTAAACTTATGTAAGTGGAATGACTACTGAAAGTATGCACAAAACTTTATCAAATTCAAATGAAGAATATATGACCTATGTGAAGTAAATATATCGTTTGTGAAATTTGGACTGAACAGCTAAATTTAAAAACAGGTTAAAGTAAATTAACTTAGTTGATAAATGACTACATGTTCACTATGAACTACTGAATACCTTTCATAAATATACCTAAAGTTCCATGAAATTTTGAATAAAAGATTTGAAAATAAAAATAAACAACTGACTTTCTTGCCCGTTACATAAACATATACGTCCAGTCTCATCATCTTTATTTACACATGTGGCATGATCAGCACATGGCTCATAGTAACATGAATCCTCTTTATCACATTTTGGTCCTCGAAGTCCTGAAATAGAATAAACATACTTGTTGTAAATTAACTGTAACAAACAAGGTGAATTGTAATTACAAGAACAGTTTATTTAATATTTCATGAATACACGATACACTACTGACCCACGACGAACAGAATCTGATCAACGTTAAATTAATCAACATAAGTGAAGTGATTATTGCTAGCATCTCAGTTCTGGAATAGCTTAGTCACTGTCTTAATAGGTCATTTAAAAAGTTTCACACTATGAAACAGCTTTAACTATTACTCCCCACACTTCAGTGAAATGTGAAGATAAACATGTTAAAACAGTTAAGATTACGAAACGTCGTTAAATGTAGATCTTAAAAACAAAATATCTTATTATAACAAAGTGGTTTTATAGTACTGACTGGCTGCAATTTTTCGGAATTACACAACTACTATTATACGAATAAGTTTCAATCGTAAGAGTCGTTTGCATGTTTTACATTTTATTGGAAATTATTAGGGGCACTTATGATATTTATCAAATTTCCATCACTATATATGGCTAAATAACTTACATGATGGCACAACTAAAATCACACCTTATTTTTAAAGAAAGTAAGCTAAAATCAAAAATTTAATTATGATTATTAACAATCTGCCTGTAGCTCTTCTAGAGTTACTCCCGGTCTCAAGCCCGATTAAAATAAGGAGAGTTGGGCATGTGATCGACAACTCCAATCCATAGGAAAAAAATCTTGCTGAAGAGACGCCCACCAGATTAAACAAATTAAACCGTTTAAACTCTGCCCTCCCAGTTGAATGAAGGATTATGAAGCCTCATGATGAAAGCCAAGATTCTTAGGAAGTCACGAGGCCGATGCCTCTTCTAACAACCGGAGCAACAATTAACTTAGGTACAAGGAATATTCAGACAATGTGGGAGACCGAAAAGACCAGTCAAATAGCATCGATAATGAGGAGATACAAATTGGAAGTACTTGGAATCAACGAAACCTATAGGACCCAAGTTACACAGCACAGGCTAGATATGGGGGAGATGCTGACGTCCTTCATTCACGAAGAGGAAACCTCTAAAAACCCTCGAGGAGTTGCTCTGATGCTGTCCAAAGAAGAGCATAATGCGCATATAGAATAGAAATCTCACGGATCCAGGATCATCAAAGCATCCTTCAAAACAAAGAGAGATGAAATCACAATGAATGTTATTCAGTGTTATGCACCTACGAATGATAGCAACGGCGACAGTAAAGATCAATTTTATGAGAGACTACAACTGATCATTACCAGTTGACCGGGAGAAGATCTCACCATCGTGATGGGAGACCTAAACGCCGAAATCTGAATGGACAACAATGGATATGAAGATATCATGTGATGACATGGATTGTGAGAGAGAAACGATATTGGTGAGAGATTCGCAAACTTATGTACATTCAAGAACTTGCTTATAGGCGGCAAAATATTCCCACACAAAAACAAACACACAGTTACATTGGTCTCACCAGATAGATCATATTCGTATCAATAAAAAATTCAAAACGACAATGGAAGACGTGAGAATCGGAATAGGAGGTAACATAGATTCAGATCATCATGTGGTTGTATCCAAATTGAAACTGAAGCTAAAGAAACACTGGACAACTATGGAAGATTCAATCTAGCCTTCTTTCAACATACTGAGGAGGGACAAATGCCGAGAGACTGGAAAGAAGGATACCTCATCAAGGTAACAAATTACACTCATTTTACGGTTAGTGGATTCAATCAGCATTAACTTCAAACATCACTGTCTTTTACCAACAACACATAAAAGTATCCATTTATAAAATTTACTAGTCCCATTGGTTTATTCAGTACGTTTACATACCAAAAGATAAGTTACTTTTTTCCTTTCACTAATGTCCGAAACAAATACAAATACTCGTACTGTCCACAAGAAAATTCTAATATGGTTATAACTAAACTTTGAAGCTACCCTATTTAATTGTGATTCGAAACAGTTACTGAGGTTTCTTCTTTAGGTTAAGCTTCCTTCAAACTAAAAGAAATTTATCATTAAAGACAACTATTATCTATGAATCATCACTTTCTAACAGTAGAATAAACATACCTGGGAGACAAATATAAGAACCATCTGAACTGCAAGTATATCGTGATGGCTCTGGTTTACAGAATATGTGACAATGATTTCCATAATAGTCTTTCACGCAACTCAAACGCATTCTTACATTAACGCTAAATTTTAAAAGGAGTAGGAAAAAAATAAACGAAGGTATAAACAACTACATTAAAAAAAAAAATAAAATCATTTAATTCAAAGCATTTAAAAACCGATCAAATTATATTTTTTTCATAACTTTTTAATATAAATTCGTTGTTTTTTTTCTATTTCAAACAACGACATAGACAAACAAAGAAACCAAGAGATCAAAGACATCAGAGACATCTGAAAAACTGCATATGAAACAGTTATATATAGAAGACATTCTCTCTTCGCTTCAGAATCACTTATCCAGATTTCCTGTTATTCATTTTAAATATAGCATAATTACTTCTGAAAACATCTATGATAATTAACTAAGCACAATAGTATGTTAAAATTTGATTGTATGTCGGCCAACCATGATATCTATTTATATACAATAACTTCGATCACTCACACACACCTATGGAATTTCAACCAAAAACAGAATCTCTTGTGTTGAGCATTACGAAATGAAGTTTTATTCACACTCTATGCAACTCATTATCGTGCTTTCCAATCAGGATTATAAGAAAAATAGATGAGACTATAATTTATGGGCGACATTTGCGAGATGCTCAAATGACCCCGAGGATGTCCACCTAATAACTAGGACTAAATGAGGGTTATAAATAAGTGTGGAGAATTAGAATTATGATATATAGTTCATTCTTAGTGTTAGGAATGAGATCTAGGGTTTTTATCACGAATTGACATCGGCTACAATGCGAAAACGTTATTCAGCCAAATGGATTAGTGAATTTCGCCCCAAAATCCGAAACCTGTTACCTTATATCTGATTGGTTAGTCCATAAATTATAGTCTCTCCAACAAACATTTTGGAAGTTTATAACCTTTGAAGATAACTAATCGTTCATTTACATAATAGTGGAAAATAAGTTTAACATGGAGGTCTAGTAATCGAGCTTGTGTTGAATCTATTAATGGATCTTCATTAACTTCAAGAAAACTTCCAAGGTAATTTCATTTTGATCAAGCATTTAATTGGTATAAATTCGTATAACTTCATTGAATTATTTAAAGCCATCACACAACTTATAATCTTTAAAAGATCGAGAACACTCAAGTGTAAGTATAACACCAAAATGTATCTTCACATTATATTGGAATGTCACATACCCTAATAAGAAGTCCATGGACGAAATAAAACCAACCACTTAATTCATCTTTGTTTTGGTTAGATCAATAACCATGGAGTAAATGTGATATTAGTTGGTGTGCATGACTCAACCCTACAACGTCATTCACAACAGAGTAACGCATTAGGATCTTTACTTATTCCGGTGTTAGACAATTTTTTCGAGTCCCCAAATTCACTGGTTCAACAAACATTAAACTATAGCTCTTAACATTGACTGGATCCAATAGTCTTATTTGAATGTACTCCAATTTGCCAATCAACGTGTCCTCGTTGTTTTATTGTAAAGAAAGTAAGTGATAGCTTCAAGCTACTAACGTAGTAGATGCTACTCACAAGGATGTTTGTAAGTAGTGTGTAGTGTATCGTGACGTCGAAGTTGCAGTGCATCGAAAGCACAAATTCGACAGAATACATGAAGATCTAATGAGAAGACTGTTCAGACCGCAGAACAGTTCGAAAGATACAAATGGATAAATGAAGGCTATGTGTAGGAAATATATAAATACTTTGTAACTTCTGAAAATAACAAACACTTCATCCCTCTGGTCAGGTTTTACACTAGTGTGAGTAGGAAAAATTTTAAAATCTTTGTGCATATAAACCAAACTCTCATTTGTATCCAGTACTTCAGAAGTACTGAAAAAACTAACTGGTTAATTTATTAGGTTATCGTAGGTGTCTAACAGTTTTTATTGTAGGCTAACAAAACTAATTAGACAGAAGTATGACTACAGACAACGTTCACTAGTCAATTTATAAATACGTAAATTAGGAAAATGTCAAAAGTTGATTGGGTGGTCGGTGGATAATTAGTTCATTCACGAAAGTTAGAGTCCACATCTTCATCAAATAATGGATGAGTGTTTATGAAAAATCGCAGACAATTTCTGTTATATCCCCTGGTGAATTGTGAATGGTAACTTTTGAGGACTATTTATGGACCAATGTAATATGCCTATTTCCTATTGTATAATTGTTACGTAACTAAACTATTCATATTCGTGTTCCTCTTATTATAAGCTTCATTTTGACCTTTGACCTATTATTATAAGATTCTTGAGTTATCATCAATCTATTGATTACTTTCCCCCTATCCACAGTCACATTTAGCCAATTATTGTACAAATGTTATTTTCTATTTTATGGTACAATGTAGTCTGTTTGGTTGGTATATAAACCCAGTCTGTTTGTGAATAACGATTCATATTACAAAGGCTGTTATTGGTGTTCTAGACTTAACTGGCTAGGCTAGGCAGAAAGCAGGGCCGATAAGTACTCAAGACTGTTCGTACGGTTTTACGTATCATTGCTCCGATCGATAATTCGCTCTTCTCTCAATGGCGAGAATCGGCAAGATGGAAATCAACAAGCTATCCACATAAATGATAATGAAATACATTTAATACGTCTCTTGACAACTATAAGCAATCATTAGTTTCTTTATTGCTGGTGATGTGAACAGAACACTAGTTGGGGAAAATCGAATGTATTTAAGCAAAGATTACAAACTATCTCAGTAACTTCTGATTACCAAACAATGAACAGTCAATTTGCAAATTAACAACCAATTGTTTAAATCTACAATGTTTCTTCTCTTATTCCATTGCTCATGCATTTTCCAAAAGATTGCGCTTCATTTCAGTTCTTTCCTCATCGGTTTTCTGCGAAAATGCATTCTATGTCTGACCCACACTATATACTACTTATATGGATATAAGTAGACCACACCACACTGGAAAAATTAGATCAAGGTGACAATAATATTCTATTAACGACTATGTTCAAATATAATCTGTTATAATTTCAATATCTGCAGCTAGTCTTGTTTTGTCCATAGATATCTCTCTACTAGTTCTTGAAATATATGTGTGTTGTTAAAGTGTTGGATTAGTCATGATTATAAAATTCATTTATCAACTGTTTTCGCTTAATTAACTCCAAATTATTTTAAACAATATTCACCTTTTTATAATGACAAAGATTTACATAAATATTTTGCCTAAGTTCCGAAGGTATTTGAAAATATTTAACTTTTCAACTGTTTTATGTGTTCAGACTAAACAGTAACTTATTATGTATGACTTCAATTTGACAAATTACAGAATGATTCATTCTTCAAACCCATTCCAATCATAGAAACAAACTAATCCGTTATGTTTACAGATCAAGTGTGGTTAATTTAAATTTACTTGAATCATTTGACATCATTTGAATCTTATTGTTGCTTAGCTATTCCATCCAGACATATTTGGAAACATCATTAATAGCATTTACAACATTTTCCTCATTTTGGAGTTGAATAAGTGAAGCATGAACTGGGTATGATGTTTTAAAATGTTAGAGAACATATTCAACTTATTCCATTTATTCTTCTCGATCAAATAAGACTTACTAAATGATATTTTTATATTGATCATTTTCTCTTGAAATTTTTATATTTGTCCAATTGTTTGTTGGTATTAATGAAAAATGATTAGCTACCAATGTACCAATCACTTCAACGGATCCAAAAATATCTTGTTCAAATATACCCAACGTGAATGTGTATTCATTCTGGATAAATAAAGAGGGAAAAAATATGAAATTTAAATTAATCGTTTTGGATAACATGAAGTACGGAAACTCAACTAAATGTTCAAATGTTATATCAGTGAAATTCAAGTTTGTATACTGATAATTAAATAAACCAAACATTTGTCATTAAGCAAAAACATATTTATTGTGACCACACTTGTAAATGGCACTCTTGACTCATTAGTATTCAGTTTCTTTTTGTGTAGTATGTATTTATTCCAATAATGGTGTTGTGGATGTCAAATCCCCAGAACTTACTTGATAAATAGCTTAATTTTGTAATTTTATTTTGAAAATTTGAATTTAGCTGTTTTCGCGCCAAACGCGCTCATTTTACCTTCACGTCATATTTCCCACTTGTAAACTATCTTAAACGCTATTGGTCCATTGTTTCTTTGAGTATGCTATTTTATAAGGATGCCCAAGGACAATTCGTTGCTGTATATATACGTTTGAGTTTTTTCCCCTTTTGACTTGTTTGTTGCTTACGGAAAATATATTCCCCTACTTTGCCTTCCACTTCTTCATCTAGTTAGCGGGGCCTGAGACAACAGATAAGATTAGCTTATCGTGTCATTGTGTCATTGGCCTTCGTTCATTACCGACAAATCGACTCAGTTCAGGCATATCAAATGGGAATTGATTCGATTATTAACTACCTGAAGAAATTTTTATTTAAAATGTATCTCTACTGATTTGTAATAACTAGTACTATTCATTTAAATGCATGGTATCAAAATTTCAATAGATGGAAATTTTAGAAAGATGGTTTATCACGAATAATGTGTATATGAGCTATATTTATAACATATATCCGAGATTCTTATCCCATTTTTTTTACCATGCCTTAACTTTTTCATGGTGACTACAATGAAGAAGCTGGTACGTTCTTTAAATAGCTCAGCCTAATATTCAATGTTTTCATGGATAGATCTATACTGTTAGACATATATTAACTGCTATTTCATATTCCATATTACAAAAATGTCGGCAATATCTGGGTTGTTCCACCTCTCCTAAGATATCCTTTAAGGACTTTCAACATAGAATTAACCGTGGTCAAACTAAATATAGACCAATACAAAAGAAATATCTCACATTTTAAACTTTCGAAATCCATTTTAAGTGCTTACACCTTTTGCTTCAAATCATGATGAATTACCTTTGGTATTGAACAAAACTTTTGAGCTGAAATTTTTACTGACGTACATCATGTTAGTAAAAGGTATCGCCTGAAATTCAAGGTTTTACGACAAGGTGATTTCAATAAGTGATGAAAAGTTTCAAAACATGAAATATACTAGGTTAAGACACAACGAATATTGAATAGTTCTTAGTCGCTTATAGCTTTTAATTAACTATGCTTGGTGATTTTCAAGGCCTACATATCCTTTTTGCTATGGGAAAAAATTCAACAACTACTTCCCTTCCCTTGATCAATCTAGAAAAATTACTTAACATTCATTTACAAACGTTCAATAATAAAACAAATGGTAAATCACTCACAGGAACAGGCTGTGGTACAAAAATCTCAATACCATCACCTTCACGAAACTCCAAGTAACCAGCATTATCAAATACACGTGTAGTATGCTGAAGTAGATGACATTTATCTATGCTTTAACCAAAAATCAAAAACAAATAGGGAAACAATGAAAAGGATATGACCAAATTATTTACTTACCAGAACAATAATGGAAATTCGTGTTTATACAACTGAAAGCTAACAATAACGAGTAATGGTTGAGATATCAATAAAAAAACTATTTAACTATTCACACCAATTAGATTTAAATATGCTTTCTAGATTTTTCAAAACAAACAGTATGTACTGGGAAATATATGACGGATATGCGTTTAATTTCCATTTCATAAGAAGATCCAATACTATCTCACATTACAAAAAGTAATCTGTATGATTTGTAATTTATGTGGAAATGTTTCAATATTATTAAGTCCATGAGCATAATCCATTTATTAGTTTAACGGTTAAATAATACTCTAAACAACACAAATGGAAAACCTCAGTTATTCTCCTAGATAATTAGGATACAGCTCAAGATTTATTTTACAATCAGGAGGGGTTTTGTGGATATTATAGTAATTTTAATAGTTGAGATCATTAATCAATTGAAGCTAGATCACTATGGAAAGCCGTCCAGTGCTTCCAGGTTCTCCATGGTGATCTAGCTTCAATTGATTCATGATCTCAATTATTAAAATTTATTTTATAGTTTAATCACCTTTTGTAGTGTGGTCTACTTATATCCACATGAGTAGTATATGGTGATGGTCAGGCACAGAATGTATTTGGGCTGATGACCGATAAGGAAAGAACTGAAATGAAGCGCAAATGGTAAGAAAATGCATAAACAATGAAATTAGAGATGAACTAATATTTACACAATGTACATGGAAGATTGAGACAATTGATGGTTATTTTGCAAATTAAGTTATCATTGTATAGTTATGAGAATTTAGTGAGATAGTCCATAATTTGTGCTAAAATACATTCGATTGTCCCCACTAGTGTTCTTGTTCACTACACTTTAATAAAATACCCTGTTAACTGAACATTTTAGGGATGGTTTGCTGAACATTTTCGATATCTTTTTTTTCTTAATAGAAATAATCTATTCTAACCTCACAATCAGTTTAGAACTAGAATATATAAACAGATACTTCAATGAATAGGTAGTAAAATCTGTTGAAAAATACGTTACCATTGAAATTCAAAACTATACGAAAATGATCAGATTTTAAGGTGATAACATTTTAATACGCTTCCGCAATCGGTATCTATGCTACTGCATTTCAATTGTCTACATTTGTAGTGCCGCGATTCGTTAATCGTTTACTTCGATAACCGTTATAATTTTAAAATTAACGGTGCGTAAAATCAGAAGACAAAGGATAGCAGCAACTACAGTTTATTGTCGAATAACTCAGGTTCGAAAGCTAACAACACCTGAGCGAATATGAACGAGCGAGTGAGTGGCAAGCGAGAGAGCGAGTGAACAGGCGAACAAGCGAAGGAAACGAATGAGGAGCAAGCGAGAGAATAGCAAGCAATTACATAGGCAATCTATAGTCAAATTTAATAAGAGCACAGCAAAGCAAAACAAAGGCTGATAATAATATTTGTGTGCGTACATATATGAGGAGGAGTATGAGTCATCTAATGATATTTAAGCAGTCAACATTTCGGCTAGAGTGTCATGTGCTCTAGTGGTATAGCAGTGCAAATAATATTCAAATTGTTACTATCCAAATGACAATGTCTGTTAAGTAAGCTATTAAAAAAAAGGCTTAACCCAAATTGGCTATAATCGAAATTGATTGTAGGATGGTTGCTATACATTCATTATATCAGATTATTAGCTACTCACAAACACCACACATGAAATACTTCAATGGTGAACCTTACTAATAGACAAAATGAACTATATATATTGTTAAATATTATAAATATATTATTATTATTATTAAATTGTATAATGTTTTATTTATACATACATATACTAAGTAAACATTAACTTATTATAGTTATAATAACCAATACGTTTATATACAGTACTAGCATGTTTTCATATCAGTCAATTAAAGGTTACTAAGGGTTACTATAGCATAGAAATATAGTTCATATTGTATAGATAGTGATCGATCGCTTGAATCAGTGTGATTGGTAATATTCAACCATAAACTTTTTATGAACATATAGACCACCTTAATACGTAAATATAAAAATCTAGAATAAAATGGTCAGTATAAATGAAATGTTCTATACAATGAAATTGTTTTATTAATATAGAAAACATTTACAATGTTTAAAGTATTATAATGTTATTGGTTCGAACGTAAATAACAGTTGAATTTAGATTGTATAGGTCACCTAGTGTTATACGTAGTTCATCCATTTATTAATAGAAGTATTTATTGGTCATTTTATCAGTAATAGGGTTTCAAATGGTAGTGGAATTTATATATTCCTCATTATAAGATATTTTAGGTTGATGCACTAAAATTACAGTTATGCATCACGACAAGCTAAATTCTTTATAGCAAAACTTTGAGAGGTGAATCCAGGAGTTTTAATGAGAAATAGTGACCAGTGGAGTTCAAACCGCATCTGATGTGAGATGTCAACTCACTGATGACAATTGGTGAACGGTTTCTCAACTTCGCGGATTAGTTGGAGTTAGACATAAACACCATGGGATGCCGGCTCAATGATCTATCGGTTATGTGCTCTGACGCGAGACTGGTACGTCCTGGGTTCGAGTCTCGCCAGGCGAGGTCAAGGACGAGCATTGCTGAGGGGTCCCTCAATAAAACGAAACGGCCGTCCAGTGCTTCCAGGTTTTCCCTGGTGGTCTAGCTTCAATCGACTCACTCTTTCAACTATGAAAATACTAAATCTCCACAAAACCCCTTCTGATAATAATAATAATATCCATATATTCTGCGCTGACTGGTGTAAATAAATGATTTTATAGTAAACATAAATCCACGGATTTTTGTCTCTTTTAATTAATAAATATCTTTCTACAGTCATAATACAAGTATATCCTATGAAACAGTTAACCATTTTGACAATACATAGAATCAGTTATTGAAAGCATACAAAATGTTGTATAATAAGATCAATTTAATGACGGCTAGAAATAAATCCAGATGACGAGTCCGAATAGGACAAAACGTGAGTTCTGGATTCTGCTACTAGCCACTAGCCATCTCTACTTATAATCCTTGTGACTTGATGATAGTATCGAGACCATCCACACAAGATGCACATCTGTCAAAAAAAATTCTGATCACTTAAAGTCCTAATCATCAATGAAAAGATTCAAACAATCAATACAAATGAGGGTAGCATAAAATATTATTAGGAATTCCAACACTCTATTTTTATATTTGACAACATTCAACTGGTTAACAAACACATTGACTCCTATTTTTCACAACCATCTCCAATACTGGAATCCTTTGCATTTATTGGACGAATTTCAAAAATAATTAACACCTCACAAAATTTACTTAAATATCCACTATTGAATAATCTATAACTTTGGAAGATAGTTGTATCGTTACCATGGTGAAATAACCCATGATTATACATAAAATATAAAAATAAATAAAATTGTAAAAAGAATATACCATGTATACCAAATAAATCACCGTAAAAAGATGATTTCATTAAATTGACACAATGTATTTCTAATGACATCTCCGCATATTAAAACATATTAACAGTAGGAGAATTCATTAAAGTGTTCTATACTGTTTTATTCTTAACTGTCATGTGTTATATTAATTTTAAGGTTGGTAACCAAATACATTGACAAAAATATGATACCTAGTTTCATTAATACAGCTGTATTATTTAATAGTTAATGCTTAGATTCTTTGTTATTGATCATCACATGTTATGATGTATTATATATGTCGATATGGTTTATGGTCAAAATGTGCTATTGACCGATTATTAAGACATTAAATTGTTTTTTTCTAATCTCTATATACAGAACAAAACGACTGTTGTTTTAGTAGTTATAATCACCAACTTTCAATTGAGGAAATGACAACTGATAGGAAACGATGCTACTACAACTAGTCGAAATATGAAATTGGAAACTATACCTTTAATTGTTAAGCATTTCATGTAAATAAACAGGAAGTTTTCCTAATAAGGACCGAGTAATAATGATTTAACGATTATAAGCGAAAATGGATGGTGGCTAACAGTGAAATTCAGAATGCGGATTTCGTCCTAATAGGGATTCGTCAGCTAGATGTACCTGCATTTCAGAGTTGATATTCACTATGGTACTCGAACCCAGTACATTTCGCCTCATTGCACAAGCAAGTGGCTATCAGGACTCAGTAGCTGAGTGGATAACACGATGGCTTTTGAAGCGAAATGTAATCGGTTCGAGTTCCAGAGTGAACATCAACTCTGAGATGCAGTTACATCCAGCTGACGAGTCCGAAATAGGACAAAACGCGCATCCTGGATTCCACTGCTAGTCACTATCCATCTCTGCTTATAATACTTGTGAAATAAGGCTTTATCGAGGCAATACGCACAGTATGGACATATACCAATAAGAAACTGACCAGTTGCAGTCTTAAACATCAATGGAAAAATTCAAACAAACAATGATAAGTGTATTTATCAATTAGCTTATAGTTAAGTTACATTATGTCATAATTCTATCAATTACAACAAAATCAGTTGATTTAATTTGAATACGTCATTTAAAACATAGGTTCTAATGATCCGAAGTCTTGAAATACTCAGTTGAATAAATCAGTTCAACAATATAAATTTATGATTAACGTGTACTACTCAAGAATCCAAAACATACAGAAAATATCTACCGTTTCAATAAAGTTGATGGCTGGAATCTTCCAAATAACCACACACTAATAACAAACCTATATAATCGTTTACTGTGTGATTACAATTCTGCAATTACAACTGGCAGACTGTTTTATTATCTAGACTACCTGTTCCTACCCACTAGATATTTCAACAAGTTATCTATTTTCTTGTTTGTTTGAACACATCATTATGCATCTTAGTCTCACAACCTATTCAGATGCGTTTGCTGAAAGTTTACAACATTTCACTGTACAAGTTACAAAAGAACCCAATCAAGGATATCTTGATTGCTGACAATATACATTGAAAAGAATATACATTATTAAGATATCGATTCCTGAACTTCTAACGTTTAACTGGCGATCACTTAATATTTATTGCAAAAATTGATCAAGAAATAAATGAGGGAAACTTGTTGAAAAACTATATGCTGAAAATTCTATGTTATACCGAAAATAGAATATTGAATAAACCCATTAATAATAATAATTATTATTATTATATAGAGAAAATATATACCTATGAATACCATCATTAGAATTACGTGACATACTGAAGACTCATACAAAGATATAAATTTTATTCATTTATTCTCTTTACTCATTTCACTTTGCTTACTATTAAACCTCTTAATTTACTTTTATCATGATCATTTAATAAAATGAATTTTATGGGCCAATAAATTTTATTTACGGGTAGATAATTTTAACAAATACATCTTAATTTCTTTAATCCATAGAGAATCAAACCAACATGAATAAAACAAACAAACAAATGATGTAACTTTTTTTTTAAAATTTTATGATAATCAAGTTATTCAATGATCAATTCTTTAGTTCTATTGAAGCATAGAAAAGAAGAAGGAAAAGAAAAAGGTAAAACAAAAATAGACTCATTCTTCTTATTTTCTTTTTTCACATTAGTTTTTCTTTTCTTATTCTTCTATTTAATAATTAAAAGTAATATGAAGTAACCAGATAGATTTGTTTGTTTCATTTAATTATTTGATTTATTGTACGGATTGAACTTTTAATTATTGTGTATAAATGGTAGATATAGAATTCCTCTTAATGAACTAATAACATAGAATCATTTCATTTGTTTATTTATGATCTTAAACTTTAAATATATATGTTTCTATAGAAAACACTTTCTCGTTGATTTGTATCTTGAATCAATAATATGAAAGACTTACATAGTAACGATTCATAATTTACTGCTTTCCTGTGGTGAACGAGAAGACAAGTGGAGATATATAAATGCATTTGGACGTAAGATTACAGAATCCCTTAGTAAAATCCTAGATGTCAATCAATTGTTTCAAATTTTTTTTGTTCCTTCACTATCTATTTTCGTTCTACTCTCTTCAATCTTATCATTCTTCTACCTTCAGACATTCTACTTTCGATTGATGATACACACTCCTTATATCTGTCGATATCAGTAGCATGCGAAATATTCCTAGAGTAATGATTATTGATTCAAAATTATAGGCTGCAAAATTGTATTAGAAAATACCTACGCAAGCGTTTGGAAAGAGTAACTATACAATAGTAAATTAGCTACATTTATTGACACTATAAATTATAATAATACCTTAGGTTATCAAACTATTAGATATCTAGAGTTACCTAGTTCACTTTATCGAAATAAGACAATTGATCAGTGTAAACAAAATATATAAATATCAATGTATTGAGACGGTTTTTAAATCTTATGTTGTTGCGCACTAAATCTTAAACTGTAATTCATGTCATCTCATTTGCATAAAATCCAATCAGTTTTTTTTCTTCAGTTAAATCAGCAAATTGATAATTCTAATGAGTGTTTTATTTTACATATTTAATATCATACTGACCAAGACAGATTTCCTATTCAGTTTTAGGCTATTTGACATTGTACGTTAACTACTTTTTCATGTTGATCATCAATCCATGAGCATAATTAATGTCGAAGGCTTTCAAAGTTGAATAGTATGACTAAACCCGGTTTCTTGAAAAAACCATACACTTTCCTACATTTGAAGGCAAATATATTTCAAATTAAAACATGATTACAGTGATCTCAGTCATATAACTCACATTATATTCTAATTCATTTTATTTGGTATTCAATGTCTACTTGTGATCAGTAAAAGTAAGTGAATTAAACAGTTTAACCAATGGAGCACATTATCACGATAGTATGTATTATCATGAAAAACAGACGTAGTTGATACTTAAGTGGTGTTTATAATTAATATGGTATAGGTTCAGGTATTTCGATGTTATAAGCACTAGTTATCGACAGCTTCTAGTATATGATGTAAGCTAACTTCAAATTAAGCTATCACCATTAGTTCTCTAATTTTATTTAATATTTCACTAGAAATCGGGATTCATTTAATTGTGACGTCTATGTATTAAGCTGTAAATATTTCACCATTATATGTTATAGCAACTCACGTACATTTGACTTTGTTTACATTTAATTTGGTTAAGCCATTTTTGCTAAATTATTTAATAGATAGAGTTATTTGTATAATAACAACTTGTCTATACCACTGTACCATTATTATTGTTGCGCTTTTATTAATATGTATGCTTGAGTATTGCTTACCGCCAACGCACATATTCATTCTGCTAACTTTACTGTTAGTCGCCTAAATGATTCGATGATTCATTTATTTTTCAATGTATACACACATTTATAGTTTAATCCTACTCTTTCGACTAGCTCGCTTGCTCTTCGACATTATCCCTCCATTTTTGCTTTATATCCCTGTGATTTTAATGACCTATGCATAGTGCATTAATAAACGTGATCAACGTCTCGTATTCGTCTTCTGATTTATACACCGTTAGTAGCGTTATCTAATGACAGTTATCACGACGAACAGTATATGAAGTGTAAGGGTAATATCGAATATTTTATGATTAAATATTCAAAACACACTCTCTCTTTGTTTATAATAAGATAATCAGTTTAAATGTAAACTCATGTACAGAGTTTAAACCAGGTTACATGATAACACTTTTTTTAAAAATCATTTATTGAATGAGTAACAATATTCACCCCCCTTATCCTTAAACTATTCTAAAACAATTCATTCATTCATATTTAATCTCTTAGACAACTGAAAATTTATATTAACCCTAATGTTTAACATAATGACGTGTCAATAACGACTTTAACAAAAGTTTATGTTTGTTTGTTTTTCAATTTAGGAAGTGATTGCTTTGACCTTTTGATATGATAAATAAAATAGAATTAAGCATATTCATTTAAAAAAGGAAAACAATTTTTTAAATGTCATTTAGATAAGGTCATATTAGGCTTAAACAAAAAAAAAGGTTAATTGTTCGCTGTAAATTGAATACAAAAAACGATAGTACTTTAATGTGATCTAAATAACAAAGGCAACTCATATCAATTAGTTCACAATGTCGAGAATCCTAGTTACTAAGTGTATATCATTAGAAAACTGATCATATTTATGCTGCATCTAATATACATATATACACCCCTTATTACAGCTATTTCACATCAATTATAACATCTTAATAGATAGTTAAAACTTGAAATGTTTCATTGGATTTTTCATTTCTATTTCATTTAAAATAAAATCGTGAATAAAGGGGAGTATTATACTAGGACAAAACGGCAACCCAGTGCTTCCACTTTTCGGTTCATGATTTTAATGAAACTCGACAATCTCCACAACTCCATGCCTTAAATTCAGATTGCTAAATTCACCAAATACACTGAATTATTTTGCTGCTAATTAAAAATTGAGCTCATTATAACACTGTATTCAATAAGTCACCCTCTTAAGATGAATGGAAATTTTCGAAGTTCAATTCGTTAGATATGATATACATACATACTATTAATTCACTTATTTTAAGAATCATCTTACATGATAACAACTTGAAGCGACGGTAAAATATTTATGGCAAGAAAGTAATAAGGTAAAAAAAATTAACTTTATCACATTGAGAGGAATTCATCAGTTATAACTGGAGATCACATTGATGTAGGTACATGCATATATTTTTTCCTACGCATATATATACATACATATGCGTTTTAGATTACAATCACATGCAAGAATGCTTCAAATAAGCAAAGTCATTCTATTCGGCTATATTTATAAGTTTTACCTATTCAAGATGAGCAAACAGTAAGAACTATATAAAATAATCTTAAATTCTTAAAATTTATCAATAGTCTATATCATATAACAGCTAACCAAGTTTGCTTGGTCAGAAATGTTTAGATTACCGAGTTGATTCAATCTATGTATATCAATTATGAACTTGAATACTACCAAAAGATTCAAATACTATTATCGATCTTCAATGTAATGGGTAGAATATTGTGTATTTAAAAATCATAACATAATTCCCAAGTCTCACATTCATATATTCTATAATTATTACAAATTTTAAGTTGAATAACTTACTCATCTGCAACTGAGGCTGCATTTTTTAGACATAATGTGAAATAAACATCACATTCTTTTCCGCCAACACGATCACAAATTTGTCCATTCTCTAATAATGATGCTGGATTGTCATAATCCCATTCAATTTTTAATTGAGCTCCACCGTATGGCTAATAAAATAAAAATGAATAAACAAACATTGTATTTAAGTATACCTCATTACTGTTATATGATTTGTTTAACTCAAGATTCAATGACAATAAATTTAGATTATAACATTGCCTATCAGGGAAAATTAGTACATTTATATCACTTCATATTTACATTACCATCGACTTTATTTTTCATTTCAAACCTCAAAGACGCTTAGTTAATTTGGCATAAAAATTAATTATTGTTCAGCAGCTAGAAATTTTAATGATTGGAATTCTATCATTGGTGACTTTCAGTACTATAGTTATCATCATGAGCCAATACACGAGGTTCTACGTCCAAACATGAATAAATGTTAGCTAGATATAAGATAAAGTCAAGAAATCCATTTAGAAAACTTGAACTAGATCTCAGTTTCATGTTTCTAACTATGGCTCTGGATTTTCAAGCATTTATTTATTACTTCGATATTTAATTCAAAAGAATCTAGTTTATAGATTGTCAAATATAAAGTTTAAAAATGCACCTAACTTTAACAAATATATGAATCTGAGTTCTTAGATCTAAAATTATTCACACTGTTGTGTAAGACGTAATAGAACAGCCGAGAACATACTCAAAAAAAAAATAGAAAATTTCACTGTCAGCACCATTTATTTTTATTTATTGAAACACATAAATATTGGTACAAAGAGGCACCAGATACATATGCGCCACACAAATCTTATTTGATTTGTGTAAGGGCTGTGATACTGCCCGGGTGCTTAAACTGAAGCAGGTGGTTTACTTAGGGGGCCACACCCGGAGCCTTTGACCTAAGGGTTTAACCCACAAGGCAGTAGAGCATCATGAGGAGATGCAATCCCATGGTAGCCGGTGACCAACGATTGATTCATACGCCATTTGTTCTCTCAGGATACTGGAGCCCATGTGCACCATTAGTTTGGAATCAGGGTTTTCCAAATCCCCTAGGTGGATCTTCCATATCCATCAACCCGGTTAAAGAGCCGGACATTCGCTCTTCATCCTCTCAATTTCGTAAACAACACTCCCGCCACGAGAAGGCAGAGAGTAGGACTTCCCTGATAGAGGCTATATACGCGTGGCCATGTGATAGCATTTCGAGAGGGAGAGCAGACTTTCCCCACTCTCGGCCGTACCAGGGCACTTGGAGACGTCAGTACCATGCCACGTTACATATCCAAGTAAAATTATTATGAGTTTTCTGAAAAATCTGTACAGTTTAAATTAATTATTGTTAAAAAGGGATCCACTAATTTTAGACCAAATAAACTCAATATATAGATTTATTTTCTAAATCAAGGAATACGTAATTTGTTTGAGTCCATAAACCACATGCATACTTTTATGTTCCCTCAGTGAAACACCCGTTAATCTTTACATCAAAACTGTTTTCGCATGAGTAGAACAAAATAGTTAGTCGAGATATGTGGGTAGCTTTTCTTCGTCTACACTTCTTACCTAAAGAAAAATCATTATTGAAATATATACAGCCTTGAACTGACATTATTGAAACATATTTGTTCAGAGCTAGTTAGTTCGACTAATCATTAAATTAGATGTTATTATGCATTAAAAATTTATCTTTACATGGGTTGATGTATCAAGAAATGTTTTAGAGCAGTGTGACTGTCATTTAAGAAATCAATGAGGACTCATTCTAATCATCTATTAAAAATTATAAGGGAATCAAAAACTAATATTCTAATATTATGAAACTACTATTTTAAAAAATTCTTCAAATGCTGAATCATAGAACACGATTATCGTCTTTCACAGCTAATATATACTGTGTCTCCCTAAAAGTCGACTTAAAGGTTATATTACCTTGTTTAATGACCACAATCAAGCTGATATCATAACAAAGAGCTTTACTTTAGGAAGGACTACCGATTCCAAACATATTGCAAATTTATTACAGTAAAGAAAAAAAGTATCAATATAAACCATTAAATCCATTATAACCCTGGTAATTAGACAATCTATTTCTTATCGTGGTCCTATTTTTAATGTCCAAATCGGTGACTTTTGTTAGCTGATCAGAATGACATCTAACTACATCACTGTGATATCCACAATAAACATAAAAATACAAGACATATATTCAACGAGGGAAACGCTTAAACTCAAAATTAGTTGAATATAATAGAAATGAAGAATTTTAAAGCAATTCAAATAAAAATAATACCCCGTAGTGTTATGACTTTTGACCCTGTTAATTGTCACGTGGCAAAATCGGCAATCAGAATACCAACTTACATGACCTTGTTCCTGTGCTAAATCAATGACATGTCAATTAGCACTAGCACATTTACGTCAACTCCAAATCCTTATTGGTTCTCAAAACAGTAATTTATCGCCTAGCCCTGACAGCTGATTTCACAACACAATCTCAGCCTCCATTGTATGAACTGTATGTTTCAGACATATGTGCTTTATACACAAGCAGACCAGACCACATCAAACCATAAAATGAAAAATAATAGTTATACAAGATCAATCCAAAAGTGGCTGTGAGTGTGAGGGACTATGGTTAGATAAGACAGTTAATTTTGCTTCATTCATTCTAATAACACAAGAGACTATTGAATTCGTTCAGCGAGCTTTAACAACTTATAAGCTGTATAATTTCATAGGCATAGAAAATGCTAAGATAGTTTTAATTGACCATCAAGGTTGCGAAATACTCTCATACTTTCAGGTAAAAGATTTACCTAATAACTGCTCAAAAATGAATACTGTTAAATATTTTACAAATCAGATCAAACACCTTTTCTAAACAATTTGATGTACGTTGGTTTTAAGAGGTAAATTAGTCAAAACTACTGAAAACGTTTCTTTTTTGACTGAAGAAACGACAAAATACTAGTGTATTCATAAATATGGTAAATTAAAGGATTTTCTGAAGTAATGTGCATAAATATATATTAAAAAGCATTTTTAGGAATACTATCACATTAAAAGATATGTATGCGGAAAAGACCACAGATTTGGACGGTAATGTGAAGTTCAAGCAGAAATATATTGTAAAACGCAATGATAAACGTATTTAGTTAGATTAGTTTATTTACCAATAAGTATATACTATATTTCAATCATGAGAGTGATATAATTCAAAATAGAACTTCATAACTGTATTTTTGTCACAGTAATCCCCGATAGCCGCAAAACAAAATTCCAGATAAGGTAACATCCATGAATTTTATATATCACACTTAAGCGTTTTATAACTGAACTAGAAATCAATAATGAAAAGCTATAACATCAGTCAAATATTGATGTATCTCCCGTAATAAATAAATACCTCTACAATTCCTCTGATTATGTTACCATTCTGCTGTCACTTTTATGTGGCTTTTAGTGAAAAAACTTGGGGTTGGTTAACAAGGTCAAACATAAAACAGTTTGTTAATGATGATACTACATTATGATTCACTTATATAACAAACTAACTTGAGTAAAAAACGTTTTTTATTTATTCTCAAATCAGTAGCTGTAAGATATTATATTGGTCGGGAGACCTAAATATATAATGTTTGATCATATAAAAGGGTGTGGGTAAGAACTAATGAAGACTCTTATCAACTAACGATTCTAAAAATGATATCGACTCATGATGAAACTTAACTTCATAAATAGATAATTAAAAGAATACAATCTGATTAATCCCTAGTTACTATCTGATAATTTTAAGGAAAAATTATAACACAATAATATTTAGAAAATTAACTGTCTCATATTGATTTCTTTCTCATTCGGAATTAAGCCAACGAAATATGCATCATTTAACTAATATTTCTAAAAATTAATCCTTTTCTGCCAAGATTTGATTAAATAAATCTTTCATTTTTCATTCACTTAATTAGATTCTACATTGTAGTGTAGTATACCGGTTAAATAAAATCAATAAATCAGTCAGAGATAATTCGTCTTTTAATATCTAAGCAACTATTGTATTCTAAGCAAAGATAGATGGTGATTGACAGTGAAATCTAAGATGCGCGTTTCGTCCTATTTGGGACACGTCAGCTGGATGTACCTGTATCTCAAAGTTGATGTTCACTCTGGAACTTGAACCCAGTATCGTTCGCTTCAAACGCGATCCAAACTCATCTACTGAGTCCTGACGAGTCCTGCATAGGACGGAACGCGCGTCCTGAATTCCACTTCTAGCCACTATCCATCTTTGCTTATAATACTTGTGAATTAAGGCTATATTGAAGCAATACTCACAGTATGCACATATGCCGATAAGAGACTTATCAATTGCAGTCTTAGAAACCAATGGGAAGATTCAAACAAACAATACCAAGTAAATTTAAGTTGACTTCTTAGTTATTTCATTTCACTGTTACAACATGAATCTCATTACATATGGTTACAGTAATCAAAGGAGCATATCTCATGTTGACAAACATTTCATATACAAATAGAATGGATAAATCACAATTGATTGATCACTGAGTGGTGATCAATGTCATGCTTGTCAAGTCATTCTTAGTGCTGATTGTATGCTATCGATCAAGTTGCAATGTGGCCACCAGTCTAGGCGGCTCGACACTGCTTGCACTATATATATTGATGTTAGATGGTGGTTGGGGGTGGTCAGCAGGAAACCCTGGTCCCAGGTTTCGCGCTACTTGGCACTCGTCAGCAAGCTGTACCTGTAATCTTGAGGGAACTCATGTTCCCTGGAGGATTCGATCCCGTGTCACTCAGCTTCATAGTCAGAGACGTTACCACTGAGATATTCGGGCCGCGATCAACCTCCTTTAGGACTGAGATGTAATCACAATTGATTGATCACTGGGTGGTGATCAATGTCATACGTGACCACCTCCAACCACCATCTTACCTCAAGAGTGGATAAATATTTTTTATGTTATTTTCAAATAAAAAAACAAACAAAATAAAAATTATGTAATTTACTAAACCAAAACAACCAAGACTAAACTAAGCATAAAGGTTTGAAAACAATTTTATAAGGTTAAACCAA